TAGATTTATTCATAGATCCAGTCAAAGATGTATTTTAGTCATTTCTGGTTTAAATTGAGATCCCTTCCCTTTATAACTCACTTATCCTCCACCATTCCCAAGTCAAGGGTCGTATATACTGACCCAATAGCATATCTTGAAAACTAGAGCCAATCAACAATTTTAAGCATCATTTTCGTTCTCAGTGACCCAGAATTAGTAAAGTTTGACTACACTTATTTCAGAAGCATTTTGTCTGTAGAGCAGTGTAATCAGTTCAGGGCAACAGACAGCTCCACAATCAAGCATGCTGGCTGGTGGAAACAAGTGGAGGAGCTTAGTCACAGTTTTGCACAAATCAGTGTGGTAAAGGTAAAGGCACACAAGAAAACAGGACCCTTAAGCAAAGGGAATAACCTGGCAGATACAGAGGCTAAGCGGGCTGCAGTGGAGGCCATGGGAACCACAGCAGTGTGTGCCTGTAGCAGTGGTAACAAGAAGTGGGATGGACACAGATCGGGAGGGCAAATTCGGGAGTTGCAATAATCTGACCCAGGACTGGAAGGCATCACTAAACTTGGGGATAAACATGTGCCAAAAGTGGTAATAAGGGAAGGTATTTGGTGTGTCCTAACAGCTGAGGGACCAGTAATGCTGTGCTCTCAAGGAAGCCGGACAGCTTTCTTCAGCTGGGTACATGGGAGCTTGACAGGGGGACACCCTGGGTTTGTGGAGGCACTGGGAACTTTAAAAAAGTTGTGCTGGTGGACAGGAACGGTAGCCGATTTAAAGTCACACCTGGAATGTTGTTTGGACTGTGCCAGGCACAATCCACCTTACAAGGTGCTAAGAGGAGACTTAATGAGACAAGCCCCAAGGGGACCTTGGAAAAGAATACAAATTTACAAATTTACAGGACCCCTAAGACCAGTTAAAAGGAAAAATCGATTCATGTTGGTGGTAGTCGATACTTTCAGCACGTGGGTGGAAGCGTTCCCCACAAAGTATCAAACTGCCCGGGTAACTGCTGAAAAATTGTTAAATGAGATATTCAGTCATTGGGGGGTCACAAAGGTGATTGACTCAGACCAAGGAGCGGCTTTCCGGTTGGACCTGTTGGGGAGCTCTCAGCCCTCACCAGAATCACATAGTTGTTCCATATTGCTTATCACCCACAGGCTGCGGGGCATGCATGAACTGCACCATCAAAAGTGAGCTGAGAAAGAGAGTGGAAATGGGAGAGAAAAAACAGTCACAGTTACTGCCCTTTGTCTTAATGAGAATAAGGGCCCAAGAATCAAAGGGCAAAGGATTTTCTCCATACAAGGCTCTCATAGGAAGGCCCATGGAACGGTGGGAAAATCTACTTACCCCAGTACCTGGGGAAGTCACTACACACGGCCTAACACAAGAATGGATTTTAACCCTAATCGACCATGTGAAATAGGTACAGTAAGCGGTGGCCTAGCAAGTGTAGCAAGGATCAAAGCATGGTATGAACCTGCCCAGGGAGTGTGATCTACCCACAGTGGGAGATACAGTGATGTACAGGATTCTAGGTCACCACCACCCCTTCCCAGCTCGTAAATGGAGGGGCCCCGACCTGGTCCTTGACAATTGGGGCCCAGTCTGTTGCTATTGGGTACAGAGACTGGAGGGTGAGAGTGGGTTCATTGTGCACAAATAAAAAGGGGTTTTTGTTTTTTTTTCCCCTCACAAACTGGATTGGGAAAGGGGATGCATAAATTCTGTCATGTATATTACAGGTTAATCCACAGAGGAGAAAAGAGGGGAATTCCCTGGCCCGGATGGAACAATAGTTAGTTATAAATTCTACTCAAATTCCATGATGTGAATTGTCAAAAGGAGGAAACACATGGACTGCTACACCCGCAACACGTGGTATTGAAGCTAATAAGGACTATGAGAATTTCACCATAGAAAGATGTACCACCAACCCTCCAACAGGAATTTGGCAGTGCCAGTATATGGTTTATGGATGAGATGGGGGAATCCCCACCCAGTGGAGTGTATCAAATTTATCAGAAAATATTGCATAGTACTCCCTGGGCACTGCCATAATGATAGTGGGAGGCTCAGTTATCCAACCATGTGGTTTGTCACAGAGGGTCCAAGGAATATAACTCTCTGGTCTCCTGGGGTATATGAACCCTCTTGGGAAAATAAGGCTCCACAATTAGTGATGTTCCCATGTGTAACCACAATGGTACTTCCATGGAGGATTATCCCCAAAGGTGTGATTATGATATACATATCACACTGGGCATAAAATCGCCCATGTGACATTGGGTGTATTATGAGTTAACCATTTTGAAGAATGTAACCCTACAGATGATATGGATGCAGCCTAGAGCTGAGAATATTCCCCGACAACCAAACATATGGGAACCATTGTGGGAGCAAGTGCAGGCAGCACTTTTCAACATGTCCTTTCACTCTATTACATGGGTTGTACACCCCAAGGAATGGTGAGTGGACCAAATTCATCCCAACTGTAGTGCATATGTAAAAGGATTGAAACAATTTGATTGGGGTATGGGGGGGTGAGGGAACGCACCTGGAATCATCAGAAAAGGGGATTGTGGGCAGCAGGGAACACTGTACTGGGTACCTGGAATCTGGGGGATGAGTGGGTAACCAAACAATTGATAAGACAAAATGTCAGATTTCAACAACAAATCAATGAATTAATAGCACAGCAACCATCAGCAGTTGCCCTGGGATGGAGGACAGTAGTAGAGGCAGTGGCGTAGACAGGTGGAGGGAGGAGGGGGAGGGGGGGGGGAAGGTACGACCCACTGCAGTGCTTTTACTGACAGGACAGTGCTCCAGGTCTTCAGCAGCACCTCGGCCGTGGGAGCTTCATTCACTCTGCAGGTCTCTGGAAGCATTTTGGTGATGAAGCTTCAGTGCCGCCGAAGACCCGGAGCACCGTCCCATCAGTAAAAGCACCGCAGCAGGTAGTGCCTTTCTCCTCCCTCCCCCCCCCCCCAGGGGAGTAAAATTAAAAAGGCGCCACTTGTGCTCAGTGGGGGAGCGGCTGCTCCCCCACTAGCTACACTAGTAGAGGTGAACCTGCAGTTAACTCATTACGCAGGAGACCTCGTGAAAATGGGTAGGGGGATGGCTTCAGAAGGCTAACTTGGGGAGAAGTGTGTGTAGGTATACAAAATGCTCAGTTAATGTTAATTGATATCATGAGACACACTTTGTCAGAACAATGGCCATTAGTGTTAAATCAGGAGGCTAGCCCATATTTATCCACACTTGCAAAAACATACCCATCCACCTGGAAAATAATAGCCATAACCTGTGGGGCCAGTACCGGTGTAATTGTTACCATACCATGAGAAGGGAATGCAACTAAGGTAGTCCCCAAATCCTATGTGAGTAACAAGAAAAGAAGGAGTGCATTGGGAACCCCTGGGAAATAGATGGGGAGAGTGGAGTGATGTGAATTGGACTATCATTATGTTTACTAAAATATCCAGCTAATGAGTTTATCCCAAAGTGCCTCAACTCCCCAGGTGATAGGAACACCAGCGGTCTACTAGGCTGCCAAAACTTAAGTCCCTGCCCCTTAACTTCTACAATGCCTCTGCAATCAGTATAAAAATCTGCAGTGCACTGAAGACAGCAGAGAGCCTCAGATTAATACAGGATACTGTAGTAGCCATTTTTCCCCTCTTTTCCTTAAATGCTGCTGCTGCTGCAGCTGCATCTCCCAGTTTATACAGACCTTGTTGCAGAATTTAGGACTAGCTTGACGTAAAGGGCATTTATCAATCTTACATAGTCACAGTATAAACCAGATATGCACTTCCAATACTTGGGCTGCACTCTGTCCAATATGCAGTTATTACCACCTACCACACAGTGTTTGAGTATAGCCTGATCAGAAATGAAAGATACCAAGTAATGTGTTAAGTGGTAGATAGACACCGTATCATTCACTTGCTCCTTTCCATTGCTTCAACACACAAGGGTCAATGCATTACCTTGGCATTTTCATTTCACAGCAAGAATTGGTCAGGTTTTCAGAATTCAACTGGAAGGCAATTCTCTCAACTTTTGTTTTTAACACTACCTCTTCATGCCCTCCTTAGGCAGTAATCACAATATTGGGTCTAGTGCTGGCTCTACTTATCAACTTTGCCATTTCTAAGATTTTTGATTTATACACTTTGCAGACTGCCTCATCCACATTTTCAGAGTAGAGACTTGGAAAGGCATTAACTCATACCAGAAGCTACTTTAGTCCAAAGCTTGGCACAAGGGGCATCTGTACAAAGGATTAGCTGTTTTAATTGTCAGAGAACAAGGATATCCATTGATTTGGACTAAAAGAACTATGCTCTCTAGTGTTAGATGGAGAAGCTGTGATATGCATGGCACATCTCCACAAGCAGTGTCAAAATCTTCTGAACAGTGTTAATTCCAAGAATAGGTCCTATTAAAGACTGTTTCCTAATGTACCCTCCAAAACTTTTAGCCCACTGGTCTTAAAAATGTTTACTCCAAACCAGAGAACAATAGCATACCACAGCACTCAAAGAGCAGGCACTCCCGCACAGTTCTGCAAATTTTTCCACAGAAAGCACATTAGGCCCAATACAAGCTCCTTAAAGGGAAAACAGACACTTGGGGACAGGCTGGGAAATTAAGGATAAGGTCTTTTCTTCAAATGAGTGCAGCCAGGATTAATCCATCATTTCCCCCAACCATGTTTCTTGCTATTTAACAACACTCAGCACCTGTTAACATACTCATGTGACAAATAATATATGGTGCAAGAGTTGTGTTTGTAAGGCTGACAATCTTCAATGTGTTGTTTCAGACATTGTCCCAAACCTTTAAAAAAAATCTCATTTAAAGAGATTCTGAGGCATGTTTGGGTAAAAATATGGAATACATTTAGCAACTCCTATGAGAACTTAAAAGCTCTCATTCAATACACAGGCAACCCAACCCCTAAGCCCACAAAAATAAAGAAACGATAGTACTTTATCAAAATACTAAATTTTATTTTCACATGTACATTTAGTCTCCCCACCATTTCCATTTGTCTGACCACCACCTCTACTATGCCTTATCAAAACATTCCATACATATTTAAAATGAAGCAAAGGGTGGAGTTCTGTCTTTAAAAACTAAACAGGCATTTTGGACAACACATTCTTGGCAAAGTATTCTGGACGACATTTATCAGACGCAGTAGGGAAAGTTCTTTCAGCATATATAAAAAGGACAGCCAAATATTAATGGTTACAGAAATAAGACTGCACATTTTAATGAACGGTTTAAACTGTTTTCTTTCTTACAGAGTCTGTCTCCACTGCCAGAGAGCTTGAATAACCTGAAAGTGTACACAAAAATGTTAGAAGTTGAAGTTAAGAATGGTCTAATTACTAATCTTCAGGATAGTACAACTTGGAGGTAACTGGATTGAACTATGCCTGTATATATGAAGTATTTTAAAAATCATTACTCCTGTATTTATTTTTTACTCCACACATTTATACTATTGGTTAAAAGTATTAAAATAAAGCAACACAGATGCTGTACTCGGGAGAAAAACACTGTATCCAACTCTACGATGAACACCTAGTAAGTCGTGTTTTTGGATGTTTGTGTTAAGAAGTTGTCATCCTCTAAAAAGTGCTATTTGTGGCAAACAATGTGCAGGTAAGAAGGCAAGTTTCTACTCTGCTTTAATGCTGATTAGCCACAAGAGCTTAAAATGATTACACCTGAAAGTTTTGTAGGAAGAGGCTCAAAAATGTTGATGTTTAGTAAAAATGTGGCAACAAATCCTTTACATAGTATGCCGAATATAAGCCATGCACTTTGTTGAACCAAATATACTTTTCCCCAAAACTTAAAAATGAAAGTTTTTTTTTTTAAAAAAAAAAGACTGCACACTAAGAATCTAGAAGGAAAAATCAAAAGGAAGGGTGTGGTGGACCAGTTAGGCAAATATTGGCTGAACCCTGTCTGCCCTGTCTTAAGTCAAATCAACTTCAGTAGCTGGGACTAACTGCTTTTAAACATTTTCTTTCAAGAACCTATGATTTTGTCTATCAGTCAATTTAACACCTTTGAACCACTGGAGAAAGCAGGAAAGCATAAAACCTTCTTCCAATGACAAAATTCCTTAATGTTTCAGGAATTTTGATTGGGAAATCTAAGGCATACAGGGTTAGTCTAATGTCAAGCAATAACTAATCCTGTACCTTTCTGATACCAGCCTTTGGCATGCCCTCTCACAAGAGAGAAGTTGACTTTGGAAGACAAAGAAATAAGACTGCCATAATGTCTATTGCAAAACAATTCCCCCTTCCTAGTCCATCTCCTAACAAAAGAAAGTTTAAGAGCAGACTGCCCAAGTCGCCAAATTCAGCAGCAGGGAAAACCACAGCTCATTTCCTTAGCCAACATTGTGCCAAAAGGAAAATTCTGTGGGTTTAGTAAGCAAGAGATAATTCACTAACCATATAAAAGCTGGAAAAATGTAATAAAACATTAGCTTTTCCATCTTTGCCAACTAAACCCTTAAAACAGTTTCCATTTATTTAATGTGAAGTATTGTTTGTGGTTTGTAACCCTTTGAAACAGTCCAAAGCTTGTAGAGATTAAAAGTAAAAAAGCATCTATAAATTTTGTTACAGAAGTTCTTTTGGATTTTTCCAAGCCACTGTAAATTCAGTTACCTTCTGGTCCTGTGTCCGGAAACAATTCTTAACATAGTTGACAAATTTGGCTTCCACTTTAGGAAGGGCAGAACCCTATTGTAATAAAATAAAAAAAAAGTTTAGTGCATGTAAAACCACTGAATGGCTGCAATAAATGGAGAACCCTTACGATAAGTCTTTTAAAACCTTAGTACAAATAAAAATTTTCAAAGCTAACTATACAGGAAACTATCATCAAAAGTTATTTAAAATAAAATTTTCAGCATTATCAAGGTTCTTTTACCAAACCCATCAGCCTAGTATGAGGCCCTTGCCTATGCAATTGACTTGCCTTAAAAAAAAAAAGCATAATTCTATCACCACCACATCTCAGAGAATCAGTGGCCAACATTTATATAGCTTATATTGCTGGCTCTTAATATCCACATGCACCTAAGTGTGAGGCATCTATGAAGTTGGAATGCATCTCTGGGATTCAATGTACAAGTAATTTGCAGACTAAAGTTCTTAAAGACATCCAGTGACTTGTGGACACCCTCAGTATTTTCCTTTAAAATAAACACCACCTATCCTGTACAATCCTATGGCAAAAAAATTACTATTCAAAATTATATTTACATTAGGAAAATTATGAAGTATTTACAAGGTTAGGATGATGATTTAGGGCAGTGATATACCCAACAATTCAAAATAAGTAAGCTTAAAACGGAGTGTTTTCCACCCATAAAGTGTGGATAAAGCTAGTTTTCTACTAAATGTCAGACTACATTTTAGAACCCATTTGTATTTTATAAATTAGATAAAGTGGTCAGCAGGCCTTGTACCCTTGAGCCAAACTCTGAAGGACAAAACAAAGCTAATATTTAGGGCTCCGTGTCTGTCACGGATTCTGTGACTTTCTGCAACCCCTGTGACTTCTGCAGGGGCCAGTGTGGCTGACTCTGGGGCCAGCTGCTTAGGTGGTCCTGGAGACAGCCACAGCAGCCACTGCCCCAGCACCCTTGCTCCCATCCCAAGACTTAATCACATGTATTTTTATTACAAGTCACGGACAGGTCACAGGGCCGTGCATTTTTGTTTATTGTCCATGACCTACTAAAAATACCTGTCACTAAACTGTAGCCTTACTAATATTTACCCACTCTGCACAAGTGAGATGCTCACGCTCACTCCAAGTTAAGTCCGCTGTAAAGGGTGTGGTTACTTTGAAAGTGAATAAAATGACATCCTGTTTCTCCAGCTATAGAATCAGTTACACCTAGCCAAAGCCCACTTAAGTTATGGGGGTTACACAGGTATTACTGAGGGCATAACTCAGCTTGTGAAACTCTTTATTGAAGGTGATAAATGAGAAAATACCCATATCTTAACAGATTCCCCACAAGGATCTCTGGGGCTAGACCAAACAAGTTTTTACTTATAAAATGAGGGCCAAATTTTCAAACTTGTGCGTCTTTATTACCAATTAGACATTTAAATGTTGTTTTTGATATCTAAATACAACTTGTGGTGTCTACTTTTAAGACAGTTTGAAATTTATGTTTGAGTGCATAACTGGTATTGAAGACAGGGAAGACTGAAAACATGAAATCCTGCAATGCCATTTTCATATTGACTTCTCAGTGTCTTCTTCTATTAGGGTATTTGTCACATCTCCTTTCCATCAGGATAGCATTGCTGAACTACTTGAAATCAGGAACAAAGTATTCCATTTGGAAAACAAACATTTCCATCAGTTTAAACTCACCTTTTCTATGGTTGCCTGCATCTTTGCTTTAATCTCCTCTAGTGAAAGGGGTACTTTTGGTGATTTTGGACTTTGTGGTTTATTTTCCTTTTTATTAGATGCCGGAGTCTGAAACAAGCAGGCAGTTTGTTACACATTTGTAAAGATTTTGCAATCACAAAGAAGCTACTTTAATTCTCCCATTACTTCAGCTTTTTTTTTTTAATGAAGTTATTAAAACATTGTTCAAACAGTACAAAGGAAGCCATGGAATATATTGGACATCATTTAAGTATCCTAAGACCAAATAGGGATATTAATACTGAACGATTCCTTCTTGCTCCATTTTCCGTATGACGTTGCGCCTTTAGATTTTGTGTTCTCCATCTTCAATAAGCTACTAGAAAAGTCATCACAAAATGGAAAATTATTTAATTTGTGCTCCTTACTTCAAGTGGTGACAGGTTTTAAGGGGGCACATGTACAAACCACTCAAACTTTAGACTGATATTTATGTTACAAACAATTTACATACAATACACACTGTACTACCAAAATGGTCTATTATCAAATCACAGAAAAATGAGAGTGTCCCTTTTTCTTCACAGGAAAATTATCTGCCCAGTTCTTCCAAAGACAAACAAAAAGGTGAAACTTAAGAGGAACTACCCAACTTAAACACTAAGACAACCAATTACCATTAGGCTGGTGGTTATCAGCAAAGTCTATAATCAACAGTGGTGCATATGTCTGCTCCAATTATTAATTATAATTCTAGAGATACTGCCAGCTAAAGGGATAGTATCATACATTTGCAAGCCTCTAGTTGCTTGGCTGGAAAATTATTTTTTTCTTGCCTTTCTAGCAAAAAATAGTTGTCTGAACTATCACTATAGCTCAAAGGCTTAGACCCAATCTTTCCCTTCCCATCTTTACTTCCCTTATCTGGACTAAGTTCAGATAACTCTCATCCAAAACAATCTCAAAAAGCTACTAAAAAGCCAAATGCTCCAGAAAGTTTGGGTTTTTTTTTGGATTGTGACTTTTGTATGGGGGGGGGGGGGTGCTATCAACTGGATTGATGGCTTTTCAACTTAAATCTAGCCTGCTACTTTTCCCTAGATAACTATCTTCATTCATATGCATTGGTTAGGAGTTTGGACACTATTGTGGAGAAGAAATCCTTTGCTTCACTAATCATGACAGTAGGATTTCAAAAATTTGCAGAATGATTTCTAGCACTGGCTAACTTTCCTAGTTTACAATCACAGGTGATCAGTGAAGAACAAATGGAAAGGACTTTTTATGCAGTCACTGTGTCAAAAACATGAGATAATTGCTTGGCACTGATTAAGGGGCCATTTGATAGTATTAAGAACTCAAGCTTAATACTTACATTAATCAAAACAGGTCACCTTACTAGACAGGACCAAAGGCAAGTCCTAGCCTCACAATGGAGGCGGTCAAGATCTACCATAACAAGGATGTGACTAGACCATATCCAATTCTGTGTTGAACAAAACATGTGTGATATTACATATCCCAGGGTTTAAGCTCAGAGCTGGCTACCCTTTGCAGTCCATGGTTGGTTGAGCTAACCTAGATAATAAACCATACTGTTTTCAAATTCAGATCAGTGCTGATTGCTCACTCAAGAGTCTGTATACCCCAGTTCCCTTACTAACTTTATCCTTAAATGAAAAGGAGTGGATAATGAAATGAGTCCAGTCTTTAAGTGAGAAACCAAGTTATGGGTGAATGCAACTAGAACTGTTACACTACTTCCAACATTCATATTATACGTAGTCACTCACTTTTGATTTAGACGCTGGTGTGGACGGCTTAGAATCTTTTCCATTCTGCTTTGATTTCGGAGTATTTTTTGCTGACAAATCCCGGGCAGGCTGAAATTAAAAGAATTTTCACTTAGCATCTTCAAAACAGAAGGAAGTTATGTAATAACTGCAAATTTGAGGACAAAAGTAAACTGTTTAGTAACTATCTTGAACAAAGATGCTTTTATTTTTATCTTTTTTTAATACTTGACAACTAGAAACGTTTATTCTCATTTAAGAGAGCACTGATTTTTCCCTGCATTTCTCATAGTGAGGGAAACTCACTTTAGCAGTGAAAATAACCACAATCTGAATGACACGAAATTGTCTAGGTTATAAAGATCTAAGATGGGCATTGACCAATTCCGGTCCACATGAAAGTAGAATGAATATGCAGGTCATTTGCCAGAAAGTCTGCAGATTTTCTGGAGCAAAGGGGATACACATAGGAGATACCTTGCTTTTTATTCTACTAAATCTTATATGCAACACCAACAAATAAGTCACTGCTGCTTTTGCTATTCCAAGCTAACTCTATGGGCAAGAGAACAGCTGGTATCACTATATAGCGAGATCCATGTTGCAAAGCAAACAATGGTCTAAAGGCACTCGGTGAACAAGAAGAGTTGCCACATAACCAGGCCAAAGGCGGTGAACACACATGGAATGGGGAATTTGATAGGTCAAGTGTTAATTACTTGCCATGGATAAGAAAAAGCCCAATGGAGCTATTAAGATTTCCTTTCAACATATTCCAAGGTTTGTACTCCAATTGTAAGTCTACAATTCACTAGTTATAAGCGTATATGAGCAACTGAAGGGAAAATGGAGGAATACCCAGGATTGGACAGAACTCACAACCAACCAAACTGAATTACTTTGTTATTTCAGTACAAGTTTGTGTACAGAATGGCCCTAAAAGTCCTAGCCCTTTTGATTAAGGTAACTTTTGAAATATCAAGTGATGCAATGCTGTCCCAAGACTGCAAAAAGGCTGAAAGATTAGACCAAGTGTAAAGTAGCCCATTAATTTAAGGAGTCCAGGTTGACAATTTTAAACATCAAATCAGTCATTTGCAGTGAAAAATACCACAAATGAGCTTTTCCCAAGTAGCTGGATATTTCATTTATATAAAAAGTTTTCCCACAGGATAATTTTGCAAGTTTTAAAGATGCAAATAAACTTCTGTAATACTTGACATATCCTGAATTTATCTGAAGATTTACATCCCCCTCTGCACTTGGTGATCAACACCCAAGCTTACCAGGAAATCCCTGGATTTCTTCAGAAGAGGTGCACCCTATGGCCCAACTAATATTGGAAACCAGGCTGCACCCCATTTTCATTATGGGACTTGCTCAGCCAAACTCCTCTGCCACCAATACCCAATTTTGTACCAACTCAATTTCTAGCTAATTACAGCAATGCTTATGCCCACCCCTGGCAAACTACTAAATGATGTGCACCCTGGGGTACTCTCAATTCTGCTGTTGAATGATCTGGAACACCCCGAGATTTGGCAGCCTTGATCTAGCACATACTTAGTTTGAGAGTTGGCCAAATATACCAAGGAGCATTAACTGGATTAGTTAAACGTAACCTGGAAGTTCAAGACAACTAACATGTTAGTAATATCAGTAAGTAAAAACAAACTTTGGGCAAAAATGTTTTTAAAATTTTAGAGGCTTTGAATCTGCAGCACAATTGTGACAACAGAAACTGAATTAAATAACTATTCATATATAATTAGTAGGTGAAATAATTCTGAATGAAATGAAAGCTGGTGGTTTAATTTCCTGTAGCATACGGATAAGTTTTCTGCAGGGCTGTACATATAGGGTTGAGAACTATTTTGGTTTTTGCATTATCTCAATGCTCTCAAAGTGGAAACTAAATTACATAAAATAAGCAGAAAGCGACAATAGTCATGTGTACCTGAGACAGAAGTTTCAACTACCTAAATATGTAAACACCACTACTTTCATTATGTTTTAGGGTGACTGATACTAAAGATCTGCAAGTTTTCAAAAATCCAGACAAACATGGTCTCAAATATGAAGACTACTTACTTTCTTCATTGGAATCTTCTCTTCTTCCTCTTCATCTAAATCATCATCACTAGAATTAAAAATTACATTACTAAGAAGCTCACTCCAATAGGTACATAACTGTGTCAATTAACCCAAACAGTTCATTTTTCAGTGACTTCATCCTCATTCCTGTTCTTTCAATGGAAGATGTTACAGTGAAGTAAGTGGACTTTGTCAAATGCAAGCTAAATAGAAGACTAACTTTAAAAGACTCTTCTGTAAGGTTAATATTTTACTACCCAACTTGGAAGAATGTATCAAGCAAAAGTAGAGAATCTTTCAAACACTAAAAGACCATTTTTCTAATTTTCTTCCACTTACTACTGCAGTAAGAGTAAATTAGGAAGTTAAACAGCACAGTGCACATTTTAAGATATATCCATCTCTATATATCTCTCTCTCTCTCTCACACACATGCTTGGAAATTGCCACTTCAAGTACAGTAACTCCTCACTTAACCTCCTCCCACTTAACATTGTTTCAAAGTTGGGGAACATGCTCGTTTAAAGTTGTGCAATGCTCCCTTATAACATCATCTGGCTGCCTGCTCTGTCCACTGCTTGTAAGATTCTGTGGAAGAGCAACAACTTTACAAGGGAATGTTGCACAAGCTCCTCTTCTCCCCCTCCCTCCCAGCGCTTCCCCCACTGACGGTTTGGCAGCGCTTAGGCCTTTCTGGAAGGGAAGGGGAGGAGCGGGGAAGCACTGGGAGGAAGGGGGAAGAGCAGGGACGTAGCATGCTCTGGAGAGGAGGTGGAGTGGGAAGATGTGGGCCTGGAGTAGAGCGGAGCAGGGATGGGAAGAGGCGGGCCTGGAGCATCCCCCAGCAAAGTCGACGCCTGTTCTTCTAGGGGGAAGCTGCCACTTCTGCTGCACAAGGTGCTTGCTAGTGTCCCTGCCAGCAGCGGGCTATGGCAGTGTGGGGTAAGCCGGGGCACCTCCCAACCACAGTACAGTACTGTACAGTATATAATGCCTTTTGTTTGCCCCTAAATTTCCTTGGAACCTAACCCCTCGCATTTACATTAAATCTTATGGCAAAATTGGATTTGTTTAACGTAGTTTCACTTAAAGTTGCATTTTTCAGGAACAGAACTACAACATTAAGTGAGAAGTTACTGTACATACAGCATACTCTGACAACTCTGCAGAGTTTTGTATTTATGAAGTAATGAGAAAAATATAATTAAGATGCTCTACAAAAAAGTGTTCATAATAAACATTTAAAACCTTGGTTGTTTGGCTTAAATTGCTTTCTTCCCTTCTTTCAGATCTCCAGGGAAGTAGCTCAATTTTTCTCCACTTCTGCCTACCTTTGCACTTGCCCCTAACACTTCTCTCCCCTCTGGTTTTCACACTCCCTATGCTACGCTAGATTCTGTTTTAGTACAGAAGTAGCATGCTGCTAGAAGATTTTAAGAAGTTTTGCTGAGGGGGTCAGATTTCATTTTTTATAATTTGTTTTCCCTGACAGTTTGCAACGAGGCAGCCTCTCACAGAAGCACTTCAGCTTCACATTCATTTGTGTGCTTCAATAAGACAATTAGCCCTGCTTCTCTAACTGAACTGGAATATCCCAACAGCATTTCCTGCAAAAAAAATTCTTGCACGTAAGTGGGGGATCTAATTTAAAAAAAAAAACCACACAAATAAGAGATCCCATCACGTTCCCAAACGCCTAAAACAGACTCCCAGCCTTGAGTCAGTGTTGAAAGTAATCTATACAGCAATAATATGGCATATGAAGCCAGATCTTATCTGGGGATAAGGCTCACTAATTTCTAGGCCAATTAAGAACTAAATCCAAAATAACTTGATTCAATGTCATGCATATTTTTTATGCTCTGAAGCAGGGGTTCTCAAACTTTTGTACTGGTGACCCCTTTCACATAGCAAGCCTTTGAGTGTGACACCCCTCTCACTTATAAATTAAAAACACTTTTAAATATATTTAACACCATTATAAATGCAGGAGGCAAAGCGGCATTTGGGGTGGAGGCTGACAGCTTGCAACCCCTCATGTAATAACCTCGTGACCCCCTGAGGGGTCCCGACCCCCAGTTTGAGAACCCCTGCTCTGAAGTCATTACCTCTGAAAACTAAACATTTCAAAAATGCATTGCAAAAAGAAAGGAGAAAGATACACACTCTTCATCATCTTCATCCTCATCGTCGTCATCTTCATCCTCATCATCATCATCTTCTAACAATTTTGCTTTTTTCTTTAGAGAAAACATTTGTTACAAAACTGGTTACAAAGTTAAATAAATGGTTTTCTGAGAGTGCAATACAGATGGTACACCAAATTTGTCCGAAATTTGCTCTTCCCATAAACTATTGTATTACCAACAAGATGAAGGCCTCTTCTAGAGTTGCACCAGTTTAAATAGGTCACTTTATATCGAAGCAAGTAACCTGATGCCAACTTGTGTGTTGGCACTTCAAACTGATTTAAACAGGACTTATATTGGTGTACTTTGTATTGGTAAATTTACAGACAAACTAAACTGATACTACTTTAAAACCGATGAGTGCCTACACAAGGACCTGGTTTAACAAAATCATTTTTTAAATTAAGTTAAAGTTAAACCACTACAACTTTTATATATGTAGCCAAGTCAGAAAAATCAGTTCTGCTAATGCCAATACATTAAAAGCTTTACCAAAGCCATAGAATAAGATCCAAGAGAAGAAAGCCCAGGTCTAAAACACCGGAAGCAAGTTTAAACACCAGTGAAGAATGAGGCTACTGATAAAAGGTACAGTATAAAACAGATGAGTCTACACAGTTTGGGATAGATGATGATATCACAATAGATGGTGCAAGAGGGGAGCACAGAATTAGTGCCATTTAAATGTTTATTGATGAGTACAGTGCTCCAAATACTCTACAACCACAAGACAGTCAGAGCTGGCAACACCAGGTGTTGCTTGTTCTGGTTTCAATGTGGTTAAAGGAGTTAACCATGTGCTCACCATAAGCCAAAATACACATTTGTTTTTAAAAATACAGCCGATGCTACAAAACTAACAGAGAATACCTGGCATGGAATCCTGTGTGAGAAGGCCGATCACTGTGCATTATCTCCAATTTAATTACACAGAACATGGCTTTCGCTACCATCAGTTATACATTCAACCCCACAATTTTTACACTAAAAAAATTGAAAAATACTAACCACTAACATCCAGTCAGACTTTAAAAATACTGTTAAATATACTTTAGAACTATGTATGGGAAAGTCTCAGTACTGATTTCCAGGATCTGAGTACCAGGTAACCTTTCTCCTGCAGTTATCAACAATCACCACCTTAATCGTGGTAAGGAATGCAGCTGCTTACTCTGCTTTAGGTGGCAGTGATATAAACTCTTCCAGGAGAAAGTCTTGAACATACTTCATAAGAAACCTCAACTCTACCTGTGGAGTTTTAGCTGCTATTCCACTTGCTGGTCTCTTTGCTGAAGTGTTTAATATCTTCACTTCATCTTCATCATCAGACTCTGGTTCTTCCTCTAATGCTAAAAAACAATACATGAATATTTTTGTACAAGGTCAAAGTGTTTACCATATTAGGGTCACACAGAGCTACAACACACGCATCACTGCCAATTTTCTATAACTGGAGTTCCCTTGAGGAGTTTTAGAATTAACAAATGCAGAAGAAAGTTTTTCCACTAGTAAGCAGCCATGTTACCCAAAAATCAAGCTGACGCTATTTGGGGTATCTTTCTATGTTCAACTTATAAATATGGTTAATTTTACAAAACTGTTATTAATAAATGTTTCACTGGACATGGGGTCAGTCATATACTATTAGTGCCAGGATTGTGTCCTTCTAGGACCAGGGACAACAGAGAATATTAACATAACTAGCTCCAATTCAAATGGGAGCAATCTTAGGACAATGGAATGGCCACATCTTAGGTGACACCAGAAGTCTAAAGCAGTGGAATTTTCCCAGAAAGAGGAAACAAAGAAACTGGGTTTTAATGATAGCATTTAAAACCAGGGGCTCAAAGAGGAACAAGGGCTCATGCTTTTGTAGCAGAGGGGTCCTTTTTGGCCTAGTGTGTCCAGCAGAGGGAGCTTTACCTGGGCTGTGACACAAACTAACCAGTTTGGTCAGTTTAGAATGTATTCTATATTTCTACAACTAATATGAAACTTATATTAAAAATGCACTGAGAAGACATATGATACATACCTACAAGATGCTGACCACTGACATGAACGGGCCCTGAACCGCATTTCAACCTCAAAACGACTGGAGGTGTAATCTCGAAGCCACCTAAAGAAACCTGGAGAAAGTATGTTGGTTATTTAAACAAAAGTTATTGATGGCAATGTAGCGAACACTTGAACACCAAATAGTAAGTGCCAGAACAGGCAGCCAACTGAAATGATGCAGAAACAATGAAAATGGTAGAGCTGAAAAAGCTGGCATTAACAAAAATGCAACAAACCAGTCGCTACCGCATAGCGGCAGTCAAGAAGGAATTATTAGAATGTTCAGCGGGCATTATTTATAACCCACATACGAGTGGTACCCAGTACAGTACCTCACTCATGCTCTACAGTGTTCTGCTAGACTCGTACTAAACTCTCTCTCGTAAGACCAAGAGAATCCTGGCAGGTATCTAAAAACTCCCTGGAGTCTGAGAACCAAACTGAGTTCTTATCTCACTTATACATCAACATTAGTATATAGGTGTGTGCGTCTACCTGGCCCATCAATTCCACCTTTAAAATGGTCTCTTCACAACTGTGTAACCCACTGCCTTCCCCCAAAGGGTATGCACAGGTGCAATTGGATCAAAATATGCATAAGGATTAACATCTCTCTCACTTGTTGGCTCTACAGGACTAATGAATAAAGCAACAGAAACTCGTCACTGACGCATGCAATTATGACTGAACACCTAGGTGCACATTTGCTGAGTAACAAGCACAGTGATTTAGAAACAAGTAACTGAAATCGCTCTGAATAAAATAAGCTTCCATTAAGAGATTTAAGAAACCTAAGACCACCCAAATTTTTTTCCATGTTTTAATTAAAATGGAGGCTTTATAATGTTAAAAATTCTTCCATGTTTCCAAACTAAATATGACAGTTATGCTCATGTCCAAGAACCTGAGAACGAACTGACCAGAGAACCATCCACGAACACAAATGAAATAGCAGAAGTATTTTAAAAATTCTCATTTTAACTCCTGAAGTTAGAAACAAGGGGTTTGCTTTACTATTTCTACTTTGTTAGTGTTTTAGTTGAGATTACCATTTGACACCAATGTTTATCAATAATATTATAAAGGTTTGTCCTTACCGTAGGCTGTACTGACATTTTCAAAGATGCCAGTGTGACTTTAATAGGGTTCCCTTCATAGTCCAATGCCTCTGCTTCTATAACGTGTAATTCATCTTTGGCACCAGCGCCTAAACTGACCTATGCAAGAAGTGAAACATATTATCCTTTATGAAAAGTTGAACCACCATTTTAAAGTTGTAAAACTGTTAGGAGAAACTTTTACTTTCAAATACATCTTAAATTCATTCACTATTTTAACAGTATTTTTACCCCTTAAGACTAAGTAAAGATGTTTCTTGGTTATCTTTCTGCAGTGAAACCACCAGAGACTTATTTAATTAGCATCAGACTGCAGTTAGATATGACCTGCATTACTAATTTTCAGTAATGAGAAAATAGTAACCAAACTGAACTTTTTATGCTATAAGATGCATTGAACAAAATAAGGTTTTTTTATAGTGTTTAGTTGTATATCCATACAGTTCCATCAGTCCCCAAAACCGTAGTGACGAAGATCAAACTGATCTAGTGGGCCAGGTGAATCCATCTGGTAATGGATATTCCAGGGACACTGACTTCCACAGATGAAAACAGCACAGCCACTTAACCTTTTGTTCTCTCTAGACTTGCACTGTACCAATTAACTGGCTGGGGAAAGCTGTCTGGTCCAGACATGGGTTCTAGCCAGGCATTTGTGATGCAAGTGAGGCCAGCATCTTATAAGATCTGATTAAGGCTATTGCTTGTTTTATTCAATATTGCATACAGTTCTGGTCGCACCATCTCAAAAAAGATTAGAATTGAAAAAAGTAGAGGGCAACAAAAACAATTAAGGGTATGGAACAGCCTCTATGTGAGAAGAGATTAAAAAGACTGGGACCATTCAGTTTAGAAGATAAGACAATTTAGGGGAGATTTGATAAAGGTCTATGAAGTCATGAATGGTGTTGAGAAAATGAAGTTTTTTTTAATCCCTTCACATAACAAAACCCAGGGGTCACCCAATGAAATTAATAGGCAGCAGGTCTAACACAAACATAAGGAAGTACTTCTTCACACAATGCACAATCAACCCATAGAATTCGTTGCCAGGGGATGTTGTGAAGGCCCAAATATGACTGGGCTCAAAAAAAAATTACTAAGAGTTCATGGAGGAAAGGTCCAAGATGGACAGGGACACAACCCAAGTTCCCTGTAAGCTGTGCAGCTTCCTATTTAGCACCGTGCAGGCACTCAGGGAACCTGCCCAGCAGGGAGTCAGGACCTGGCCACAGCCAGTGGAGGGATGCCCATAGGCACAGACTTCCCCTCTAGTGGGGTATGGGTGTTCGACCCCCCCTCCGCCCCCAGGCCCCGTTCCCGCTCCTCCCCCTCCCTCATGGAGCTTCCTACACACCGTGAAATAGTAGCTGTTTGCAGCAGGAGGGAGGTGGAGGAGTTGGTCAGCAGGGCTGCTGACAGATGAGAGGCGCTGGGGAGCTGCACCTACTGATTTCTCTGTGGGTGCTCTAGCCCCGAGTTGCCTAGGGGGGTGCCCCTCCCTCAGCCCCAGCCTGCAATTTACTTGAAAGTTGTGCTTATCTTCTCTCCCAAGTTTGTTTTCTGTAATGTTTAATTTTTTTAACTCAGTTTTTGTCCATCTAGTGTTGGGATTAGTTTACATTCTTTCAGTTTCCTATTCCATCTTTTAGACAGTAATATCCTCCCCATCAGACACTCAGTCACTCACTTCATGCCAAGTAGCAGCTCTGATTAGTCAGGGAGTATCTACTTGCTCTCTTTCCATCCTATGGCCCAGATGCTGGTGCTGTGCTCCGCTGTATTTTGCTGACTGACTGCAACTGTTTTGTATGTCTGTTGATCTGTCCGCCCTATCCCCTTGTCGCAAGAGGCTGGATTAGCAGCTCAGAGGAGCCTTCCAACAGCTGAGTGTAACAACTGAGTTTGAATCCGGAAGCCATGTAACTTATGGCCACAGAATCTATAAGGAACCATTGTGATCATGTAGTCTGATTTCCTGTATAGCACAGACCATACATAGAACTTCCATAAAATAATTCCTAGAGCAGATCTCTTAGAAAGACACCCAATCTTGATTTTAAAGTTGTTGATGGAAAATCCACCATGACCCCTCATTTCCTGTCTGAATTTGCCTAGCTTCAACTTCCAGCCACTGGATGGTGTTATATCTTTCTCTGTTATATTGAAGGGCCCATTAAATCTTTGTTCCCCATGTAGGTACTTAAGGTAATCAAATAACCCCTTAACCTTCTTTGTTAAGCTAAATATAGTGATAGACTCAGGCAGGTCCATCTAAGACATGTTTTCTAACCCTTTAAGGATTCTTCTGGCTCTTCTCTGAATGCTCTCCAATTTATCAACATCTCTCTTGATTTGTGGGCCCCAAAACTCAACAAAGAAACAGTAGCACCAGTGCCAAATAGAGGTAAAATAACCTCTCTACACCTACCCAAGATAACATTTTAAGCATCTGAAAGGCTACTCAGTGATTTATGTATATAGTTCACATGTAGTTCATTATGACCTTTTCCTTCTAAACATACAGAGAAGGTTCCATTTTTTCTAGTTCACCTCTTCCCCATCTATTATGAGAGCATTTATGTAAATTAGCATATCTATATTTAATCTAGAAACTCTTGGGGGCAGGGGCAGTTTTATGTCAAATGGGGTCTCTGGGCACTACTGCAGTACAAACTATAGATTCACAGATTAGACAGTCAGAAGGGATCATTGTGATCATCTCAATCTGACCTCCTGCATAACACAGGCAGAATTTGCCGGAATTTTTTAATCCCTGTTTGATTAGACTACAGTATCTTTTAGACAAAAATACAATCTCAATTCCCAGTGATGTACATTCCCCAACCCCAATGAAGGAGTCATTGTCAAGGCTTGGTTTCACTTTTCATTAAATATGGGGAATCAACCTGTTTAGTATGAAAAATATATAACACCTTCCACAGATTTATAACCCAAGCTGTTGAAAAAAGACTGACCTTCCGGAAATTTTTCAAATAAGTGTTATGAGGTTTATTAAAGTATCAGACCCTTAAAATTTTTATTCTGAGTGTCATGATTTTCTAGCCTCATGTGGCAATTTTTTAAAAATTGACCTTCTTGTAGCATTTATTTAAGGGATGGGCTCTACTTTTGAAAGGCTTACTATGCATTTATTAATAAAATTTGTTAAGGATGCTGAATACTTCAGAACTTAAACTTCTGTAGAGATGCTGGAAGACTGTCATCCCTCCATACTCAAGCAGAGTTAAAGATGTGCGTTCGTTCCCTGCAGCATATGGCGACTGACAGTGTTGAAGTGTGGTGGAGAAGCAGGTATGCCACTGGCAAGTGACCTAACTTTACTTCCTTGCTTTTGTATGTGAAACCTTAACTGCTAGAAGTGTTTGTGTATGAATAATAAGAATGGCTTTCTTATCACACAAACTGCATTAGAGGCCATGCCTTTTCCCTCTGTTAGATAGCAGCAAAATTGTCCATCAGTTTCACAGACTGTATAGACGCCTTGACAGTACTTTTTTAGTGTGGGCTCTCTTATGATATCCATGACTGAATAACTTTACTGGAGCCAACTGTAGGTTATGTTTCATTTAGTAAGAGAATCACTGTTCTCATGATTGTATGTTCTTCTGAACAGGAGATCGTGTATAGCCTAAGCAGACTTCAGTATCCAGCTCTCTGCTATCATGTAATTTAATTTGGCTTTCACTTATCACAATTTTATAGTCTTTGTATTACATGATTGATTTTGGGTACACCTAGGAGCTCAATCTCTAGTCTTTGACACACTTCAAAAATAAGTAGTAAAACTCCAGAAAAGGCGAGAAAAATTTAAGCTTGTCTTACGTAAAAAAATCTATCAACTGCAAAATTTAATCATTTTCTTGCTTTGATTTTTAAACAGCTACAAACAGTTGCAAAAGTACCATTATGCCCCTTACAGCTCCATATGGGACAACCAACCTATATTTAGCACTGTGAAAATAAATTTAATTTTGCATTTCAATGCATACCCTAGTGGGAAAGATTCTCTTTAAAGGCAAACAGAAAAACATTAACACACACACACAAAAATCTATATCTATAGCTATATCTATATATAGAATTACTTCATAGTCATATGTTTTAAAAGAACATCTTCCAAACTTTGAGTCCAGGGTTTTCTTTCCCTCTTATGAGCAGGTAAAGACATTAAAAGAAATCTGAGTAAGAGCATTTTCTACACTTAAGCGTGATTTCATCAACTGCTGCTATTTACAGTTTCACCCAGAAAAATCTCAAGGAGCTTTTCAGACTATATATAGGAATCACTTCTGTCCACCACTGAAATGCCGACATTACTGGTATTCTGCATCAATCACTACATTAAATGTAGTAGGAAGAAATAAATGAGATACTGTACTTTATTAATTATGTGCAGAGTGGATAAAAATCAAAGATTGTAAGTATTTTAAACTAGATATGAAATCAACAATTTATGTTAAGGCCTAAATTTACTATAATATTAAAATCCTTCAAATTAAATAAAAAAATAATATTAAACAGTACATGTTTGCTGCCAAGTTTCAAACCACTGAACTGGAGAGAGTCACTGGTTAAGCACCTGGAACCAGAGTTTGTTGAAGCTCTAACCCAGCTTTTAGTTTGACTAGCTCATGAACAGTTAAAAACCACCAGGAGTTGAAAAGGCAGGAAAGTTTGTTTTCCTCTTCCAATATATGAATAAAAACTAGGTGTGAAAGATGAGATCTACTAGTTCTAAAATCTTGGAGGATATGGTGATCAGACATAATCAGTTCAATTCACTAACCACAAACAAGACTTCTTTAGCTTTAAATATAAACCATGTTTTGTTAAATAATTTTCTTATGTACCAGCACATTTAAAGTAGTTATTTAGTAAAGTTAAAATTCTATTTTGTGCATTTTAATTAAATTTGCATTTCTATCCAAATACAGCAGGAGACAAAGTAATAAAAATAATCGTCCAAGAAGTGCATCAGTCACCATTTTCTAACAAGTAAAAATTAAGAATCTGAGTAAGTGCAAGTTAAGCTACGTAATAGCGTAATTAAATCTGTGTATACCGTATCCTCCTGGCTAGCAAAAAGCACCAAACTTAGTATAAAGGCTGTATTTAGCTGCAAATCAAAATATTTTGATTAACAAATGAAAATCAACACCTCTAAGAACATAGAAGGACAAAAATGCAAAATAGGACTAAAATTGAGGATTTAAATTAAGGTTTCCTGCTTGCCATGATTAAAATTAATGACTTAAAATCAATCTACCCTGCTATAAGCAGTGATATCATACATAGTTATTTCATCAAGTCTCACAATGGAAAAGAATCCTGAATTCTTAAACTGGCAAGCAAGTGAGCAAAATGCTTGGTAAGTAAATGGTTAAGCTTGACATACAGGTATTTTAATTTTTGGGTCGTGAAAAGGTATAATCATTACTCAGTTTGTATTAAATAGTTTTTACTTTTCCAAAACAAAGTTCCAATATATCAATTGGATATACATAACATGCTTATTTATCTTCATCTTCAAAAAACAAGAGTTCTCAGTAAATTATTTTAATTACATCAATGACTCAAGAAATTTTAATAAAAATTATGGAAACAATAGAAAACAACGAGTTTAGTGTAATTTGACACTTAAGAATCTATCCCAAATTACTTAAATAGTTTTTATAAATTTCACAAAGCACCTCTAATACACAATGGAGCAGAGCATCCAAGACACAAAACTGCACAGCAGGATAAAAGTGTGATTCAATTATTTGCATTTATGATTCCCATGATTATGAAGTCTGAAAGCTATTTTTCACAGGACCATAATCTTTAGTTTCCAAGAATGAGGACTTACTGTTCTCAGTGACAACTGGTGTTCATTTTCCTCATCATGCACCTTGAAGTGATACTCCTTATCTGCCTTTAGTTCACAACCTGAAAAAGACCAGTTAAGTTACAGGTAAAGTATTTAAACCATAACATTGCACATTTATTTATTGTATGTTACAATCTTGTTCCTTTCAGTATTTATTTATTAGAAGTTAATATATTCAAAACCTGCAAGCTTGCACTCCAAAAATCTAAATTTGTATACAAAATGTTTGAGTTCTTCAATGCTCACATCTCAGACTTAATAGCAGAAAATAGTGCAGTGAGGTCTCAATATCAAACCTTTTTAAAAAAAACACAACAGAACATTTGCTAGTACGCCACAAAAAGGCAGAGCACAATACTTGCAAATTACTTATCAGGTGTTCAAATAAGAAGCAAGTGTCGATAATTTATAAGGGGTCTCACGGAGTCATTTGTGAAAGCTACTGAGGTTAAAATGTATTAAAACAACAATTAGCTGCAGGGCGGCGGA